GGAGTGATCGGGTGGCAGCGCGGTGTGATTGGTGGAGGAGTGTTAACACGCGCTGGGGAAAACGGATCGTAGAGAGAGTGCGTCGTGATTGGTTCATTAAGGAGCGATGCTCACGTTGAAGTACGCATCAGCTCCGCCTCTCGTGAGCAGGGGCTATAAAAGGGGATGCACACAGGCGTGAGGGCAGTGTGTAACCAGCGAAGAATGAAGACGGGGATGAAGACCTAGGGCCCTGCGGTACCTAGTCCCGCTGTCCTAACGGGACCGGGACTCTGTGTAACCCAGAGGCGAGTGTAGTGTGTGTAGCCATAGGCGTAAGGTCTACACGAGCCGAATGCAGTGTATTGTGTAGCCAGGGACATAGGGTCTACACGAGTCGAGTGTATTGTGTAACCAGGGACATAGGGACTACACGAGTCGAGTGTATTGTGTAGCCAGAGGCGTAGGGTCTACACGAGTGAAGGGTATCGTGTGTAGCCAGAGGCCTAGAGTTTACACGAGAGTAGTGGAGTGTGAAGTCGGAAGAAAGGAGACTACACGTTGTATTTTGATACGTAAAGATTTAATAAAAGTGTGTTCCCGTCAAGAAGTTCCTGCCGTCAATTCCCATACTTCACATGTGTAGTAGCTACGGGCCAAGCACTTTCAAGGGCCCCGCGCTAAATGCTTTCAAGTATTCAATTCTGGTTCAGTGATTCAGCACTTGCTCTATTACTATAGTACTATACCGCCTACAACTCTTATAAACGACCTGGTGTTTAAGGTTAGCTATGTTTTTCATTTGGCTGTATAGCTGTATAGCCAAAGGAAAAAAGTACAATTACCTGACAATACAAGTCAAATATTGACGTGTTTTAAATATTTACGCGTTGTTTTTATTTCATTTAGGGCCCCTTTGTAACATTTGCTCTACAGGCCCCGGCACTGGCGCTGTCCTTACGGGAAGCAACGAGACCCACGCACAGAAGCCGACGACGGAGAAGCAGCAGCGGTGTCCACAAGTTTCAAGTTGCATTGATTAGGTTTTGCCCTGTGAGCCATTCGGCTCTTGAATCGGGTGCAACCGCAACAAACAAAAAAACTAAAACATGAACAAGAAAACATCTTAAAGTGACTGATTGCAAACAGAAAATCCAAGGAAAGACAGCTAAATATTGCAGAAAAAGCACCGTACACCAACATTGTGTGCAAAAATCCCAGTGGGATGCAAGTCAAACAACAATAACAACCACAAGACAATAAGATAATTGTTTTTTTACCCTTCTATCTGGCAACAAAACTGACACCTTTTTTACAAGGAGTCATGTTTACATAGACCACAATACCTGCAGTCATAATGCAAAAAAAACATAACTCTGATAATGTATGCACTGTCCTTGAAGTTGATTGGTCCACACCCGAGACAGCTTTCCTTAGAGCCTAGTCTCACATGGGTTGGACCAGATGACGCCAAAAGGCGCACAACTCAAAGACAATGCACCATCAGAGTATGAGAGCTCGGGGTTAAGCATTTATACCATTGGAACCTCATTTGCCAGTAAAAATATGATAATTTTTTTTTTTACCCTTTTATCTGGCAACAAAACTGACACCTTTTTTTACAAGGAGTCGTGTTTACATAGACCACAATACCTGCAGTCGTAATGCAAACAAAAAAAACACAACTCTGATAATGCATGCACTCTCCTTGAAGTTGATTGGTCCACACCCGAGACAGCTTTCCTTAGACAACTTGAGATTAAGGCCATCAGTCTAACTCTGTACTACAACAAACAAACATGGCCCAACTTCCCGAAGCAGCCAGCTGTCCGTAGATTACTAAAGAAAAGGGGGACCCCGTCAGCGTGTAACATTAAACGAGGTCGCGGAGCTAAGGATGACTATCTAGACGCGTCGACACGACCGTGTTTGTGACGCAGAACAGGAGACAATCTTGAGATCTTGGCAGAGGTTGCACGCGCGGGGGGTATAAAGACGGGAGGGTTGTCCGTTCGGTCCAAACACTTTGGCGAAACATCTGTGGGCAGGTGTGATGACAAGCGCGGTGGTGGTGGTGGTTGTTGCGGTTGTTGTTGAGATGGTGGAGGCTACTTCTTGGTTCTTTCGGTAAAGTCACGTAGAATGGAAATAAAAAAAATAAAAACACAATAAAATAATTATCACGACGTTTCGGCCACAACGCAAAGCAGCCGTCCTCTACGTGACTTTACCGAAAGAACCAAGAAGATGAATCCCTGCAGTCACGAAAGCTTTAAATCGAAATTTAACGGTGGAGGCTGTGTTGGTGATGATACGAGTGGTGGTGGTGATGGTGGAAGTGGTTGTTGTTGTTGTTTGATGATAGTGGTGGTGGTGATGGTGGTAGAGATGATGATGGTGGTGATGATGATGGTGGCAATGATGATGGTGGTGATGATAATGGTGGGAATGATGATGATGGTGGTGATGATTATAATGGTGATGATGGTGGTGGTGATGATGATGGTGTTGATTATGATGATGGCGATGATGATGGTGGTGAGGATGATGATGGTGATGGGGATGATGATGGTGGTGGTGGGGATGATGATGGGGATGATGACGATGATGGTGATGATGGTGGAGATAATGGTGATGATGATGTTGATGATGATGTTGGTGATAATGATGATGATAGTGGTTGGGTTGGTGATGATGGTGGTGGGGATGATGATGACGGTAGTGATGATGATGAGCATAATGATGGTGGTGGTGATGGCGGGCTACGCAGAGGAGCGCCACGCAGGCTATGAGATGTTAACTACCTCGCCTGGTTTACAGGAGGTCATGGGTTCGATCGCGACCCTGATGCCTGCTGTATATTTGAAGTTTGCGTCTTTCATCATCACCACAGTGGCTATGATGTGTTAACTACCTCGCCTGGTATACAGGAGGTCGTGGGTTCGATCACGACCCTGACGCCTGCTGTATATTTGGAGTTTGCGTCTCTCATCATCACCACAGTGGCTAGGAGATGATAACTACCTCGCCTGGTGTACAGCAGGTCGTGGGTTCGATCACGACCCTGACGTCTGCTGCTGTATATTTGGAGTTTGCGTCTCTCATCATCATCACGGTGGCTAGGAGATGTTAACTACCTCGCCTGGTGTACAGCAGGTCGTGGGTTCGATCGCGACCCTGATGCCTGCTGTATATTTGGAGTTTGCATCTCTCATCATCACCACAGTGGCTAGGAGATGTTAACTACCTCGCCTGGTGTACATGAGGTCGTGGGTTCGATCGCGACCCTGACGCCTGCTGCTGTATATTTGGAGTTTGCGTCTTTCATCATCACCACAGTGGCCAGGAGATGTTAACTACCTCGCCTGGTATACAGGAGGTCGTGGGTTCCATCGCGACCCTGACGCTTGCTGCTGTATATTTGCAGTCTGCGTCTCTCTTTCTCTCCGTGGTCACGGGGATTTTTTTTTCTCCGGCTCCTCCGGTTTTTTCCCTCCAGATTTCGAAGCTCACGCGTTTAGAGTATTTGTCTACCGCTATAAATGTCACGTGGTGATGAGCCACTTCGTGCGGCTGTCACTTGTGATGGTCAAGTCGCTCCTGACAAACAGCGGCTACGTTGCTCAGTGGGGTCTTGCCTGGTGAAAATAAAATCATAAAAAAATGTTTGATGATTTTCTTAGTTCTCGCGATCGAACTTTACCCAAAGAACCAAGAAGATGAATTCCTGTAGTCACGAAAGCTTTAAATCGAAAAAAAGATGATGATGATGTCGATGATGTAGATGATGATGTTGATGCTGATGTTAATAATGATGATGATGTTGATGATGATGTGAATGACGCTGTCTTTCCGACAGCCCTGTTCTTCACCTGAGGACGGCTGCTTGCGTTGTGGCCGAAACGTCGTGAGAATTATTTTATGATGTTTTATTTTCATTATATTATTATTTCCATTCTACGTGACTTTACCGAAAGAAGCAAGAAGATGAATCCCTGCAGTAACGAAAGTTTTACATCGAAATTGCCGAGTGTCACCCCATGGGCGTGTGAATAGTCACTCAACAATAACGACTGAGAAACGGGCGAACACTTGGGCAAAGCAACACTCCCCCCCCCATCTCTTTCCCTGGAACAATGAAACGAACTAGATTTGAAGCTTTCGTGACTGCAATGATTCATACTCTTAGGTTTTTTCCGTAAAGTCACGTAGGGGGAAATAAATAAATAAAAATTAGATACATAATAAAAAATACTAATAGAAATAAAATTAATTTCGATTTAAAGTTTTCGTGACTGCAGGGATTCATCTTCTTGGTTCTTTCGGTAAAGTCACGTAGAAGGGAAATAATAAAATAATGAAACATAAAAATAATAAAATAATAAACGAAATATTTTATTACGCTTTATTTTTTATCATTTTATTATTTTCCTTCTACGTGACTGTACCGAAAAAAACCAAGAAGAGAAATAAAATAATAAATCACGACGTTTCGGAGGCAACACAAGCTTCATATTCTTAGGTTTTTTCGGTAAAGTCACGTAGGTAAAAAAATAAAATAAATAAAAGTAAAATAAAAAATAAAATAATTTCTCTCACTTGATACAGCTATCGTGCTGTGACGGTTCCACCTGAAGACGGAAGCTTGTGTTGCCTCCGAAACGTCGTGATTTTTATTTTAATTTTATTAATTATAATTTTTTACCTACGTGACTTTACCGAAAAAACCTAAAAATATGAATCCTTGCAGTCACGAAAGCTTCAAATCTAGAATTAACACAAGCTTCCTTCATCAGGTGACTTTACCGAAGAAAAAAAAACCCCTAAGAGAATGAAACGAACTTTGTTTTCTGTGTTGAAGGTTCGAGGTCTCGTTACGAGTTGGAGATCCGGAATTCTTCCCAGCTCACCATGGCTGGACCTCGCTTTGGCTGCGAATCATCACTGCCGCCGCTGCTGCTGCTGCTGATGATGATGATGATCGCCTTAGCGTTGACGCTAAAGTCTCCGGCTCTAGCGAGGTCTCACTGCTCGGTCCGAATCACCACCGTCGCCATCGAGGACACGTTGTGCGGCATCTGTTACGATGTCAACACGACCATCTGCCAGGGCGCGTGCGTGACCAAGGTGGGAAGAAGTGGTGGTGGTGGTGGTGTAGTGCTCGTGTGTGAGTCGCCTCTGTTGTGCGTTGGGGCGATGCACTGCTGATGAAACCGCGCGTCGCCAGCCGAACTCTGGGTTACAGCAGAAACGACGATCAGTTGAACGCGTGTGAGGCTTTCGCCACCAATATTATTCATAATCAACGTTTTTTTGTGGTTTAGAACCCGTGTCGCCAGGCTCACATAGCGCAGCGCGCTAACCGCTGCACCACCGCTCCTCCCCCACCACCGCAACGCTCACAGCAAAGCTACGCGCTCCACGGCCGCTCGGTGCAGCGCGCTAACCGCGGCACCACCGCTCCCCTACCACCCCCCACCCCCTCTACAGCGCGCTAACCGCTGCCCCACCGCTCCCCCACCACAGCAAAGCTACGCGTTCCACGGCCGCTCAGTGCAGCGCGCTAACCGCTCCCCCACCCCCCTACAGCGCGCTAACCGCTGCCCCACCGCTCCCTACCACCCCCACCCCCCCTACAGCGCGCTAACCGCTGCCCCACCGCTCCTCCCCCACCACCCCTCCCCCCACAGCAAAACTACGCGCTCAACGGCCGCTCGGTGCAGCGCGCTAACCGCTGCACCACCGCTCCTCCCCCACCTCCCCCCACAGCAAAACTACGTGCTCCACGGCCGCTCAGTGCAGCGCGCTAACCGCTGCCCCACCGCTCCCCTACCACCCCCACCCCCCAGCGCGCTAACCGCTGTCCCACCGCTCCTCCCCCACCACCACCCCTCCCCCCCTACAGCGCGCTAACCGCTGCCCCACCGCTCCTCCCCCACCACCACCCCACCCCCCCTACAGCGTGCTAACCGCTGCACCACCGCTCCCCTACCACCACCCCACCCCCCCCTACAGCGCGCTAACCGCTGTCCCACCGCTCCCCCACCCCCCACAGCAAAACTACGCGCTCAACGGCCGCTCTGTGCAGCGCGCTAACCGCTGTCCCACCGCTCCCCCACAGCAAAACTACGCTCTCCACGGCCGCTCTGTGCAGCGCGCTAACCGCTGCCCCACCGCTCCCCTACCCCCCCACAGCAAAACTACGCGCTCCACGGTCGCTCTGTGCAGCGCGCCTGCGTCTACTCGGAGGTGCGCTACGAGTCGTCGGTGCTGCTGCGCTAACCGCTGCCCCACCGCTCCCCCCACCCCCCAGCGCGCTAACCGCTGTCCCACCGCTCCCCTACCCCCCCACAGCAAAACTACGCTCTCCACGGCCGCTCTGTGCAGCGCGCTAACCGCTGTCCCACCGCTCCCCTACCCCCACACAGCAAAACTACGCGCTCAACGGCCGCTCTGTGCAGCGCGCTAACCGCTGTCCCACCGCTCCCCCCCCCCCCACAGCAAAACTACGCGCTCCACGGCCGCTCGGTGCAGCGCGCTAACCGCTGCCCCACCGCTCCCCCCACCCCCCAGCGCGCTAACCGCTGTCCCACCGCTCCCCTACCCCCCCACAGCAAAACTACGCTCTCCACGGCCGCTCTGTGCAGCGCGCTAACCGCTGTCCCACCGCTCCCCCACCCCCCACAGCAAAACTACGCGCTCCACGGCCGCTCAGTGCAGCGCGCTAACCGCTGTCCCACCGCTCCCCCCACCCCCCACAGCAAAACTACGCGCTCCACGGCCGCTCAGTGCAGCGCGCTAACCGCTGTCCCACCGCTCCCCCACCCCCCACAGCAAAACTACGCGCTCAACGGCCGCTCTGTGCAGCGCGCCTGCGTCTACTCGGAGGTGCGCTACGAGTCGTCGGTGCTGCTGCGCGGGTGCCCGGCGCGTCCCCGCGCGGCCACCGTCTCCGTGCCCGCCGCGGTGTCGTGCGCGTGCCGCCGCTGCGACTCGCGCACCACCGACTGCACCGAGCGGAGCGTGGGGCCAGACTTCTGTCGACTGCGCAGAGGCGGCGGATGAGGCGGGTGGTGGTGGGGGGAGGGGTGGGGGGTGGATGAGGCGGTTGGTGGTGGGGGGAGGAGTGGGGGTGGGGGGTGGATGAGGCGGTTGGTGCGGGGGGGGGGGTGTGGGGGGTGGGGGGGTGGTGGATGAGGCGGTTGGTGGTGGGGGGGTGGGGGTGGATGAGGCGGTTGGTGGTGGGGGGGGGGTTGGGGGGGGGGTGGGGGAGGGTGGGGGTGGGGGGTTGGGGTTGGTGGCTAGGAGTGGGGGGGGGCTAGGGCCTAGGAGCGTTGGGCCAGACTTCTGTCGACTGCGCAGAGGCGGTGGATGAGGCGGTTGGTGGTGGGGGGGTGGGGGGGGTGGATGAGGCGGTTGGTGGGGTGGGGGGTGGGGGGTGGGGGTTGGATGAGGCGGTTGGTGGGTGGGGGGTGGGGTGGGGTTGGGGGGGGGCGGTGGATGAGGCGGTTGGTGGGTGGGAGGTGGGGGTGGGGTTGGGGGGGTGGTGGATGAGGCGGTTGGTGGGTGGGGGGTGGGGTGGGGGGGGGTGGTGGATGAGGCGGTTGGTGGTTGGGGGGAGGGGGGGGTTGGGGGGGGTGGTGGATGAGGCGGTTGGTGCGGAGAGGGTGGGTGGGGGGTGGATGAGGCGGTTGGTGGTGGGGGGGTGGGGGGTGGGGGGAGGGGGGGGTGGGTTGGGGGGGGTGGTGGATGAGGCGGTTGGTGCGGAGGGGGTGGGTGGGGGGTGGATGAGGCGGTTGGTGGTGGGGGGGTAGGGGGTGGGGGGAGGGGGGGGTGGGTTGGGGGGGGTGGTGGATGAGGCGGTTGGTGCGGGGGTTGGGGGGGGTGGTGGATGAGGCGGTTGGTGGGTGGGGGGTGGGGTTGGGGGGGTGGTGGATGAGGCAGTTGGTGCGGGGGGAGGGGGGGTGGATGAGGCGGTTGGTGCGGAGGGGGTGGGTGGGGGGTGGATGAGGCGGTTGGTGGTGGGGGGGTGGGGGGTGGGGGGTGGGGGGAGGGGGGGGGTGGGTTGGGGGGGGTGGTGGATGAGGCGGTTGGTGCGGGGGGAGGGGGGGTGGGGGGTTGGGGGGGGGGTGGATGAGGCGGTTGGTGGTGGGGAGTGGTGGGGGGGAGAGGGAGAGGGGGGGTGGTGGGGGAGAGGGTTGGGGGGGGAGAGGGGGGGGTTGGAGTGGAAAAGTGGGGGGGTTGGGGGGGTGGGGCTTGTTGGAAATATATTTGAGTGGGGGGGGGGGTTGGTGGCTTGGGGTAGGGGTGGGGTGGTTAGGAGTGGGGGGGGGTCTAGGAGTTTGGTTGGTGGCTAGGAGTGGGGGGGGGGGTGACTACGAGTGGGGGGGTTGATGGCTAGGAGTGGGGAGTGGGGGGGGGTGGCGGTGGGGGGGTGGCTCGGATTGGGGGGAGGGCTAGGAGTGGGGGGGGGCTAGGAGTGGGGGGGGCTAGAAGTGGGGGGGGGCTAGGAGGGGGGGGCTAGGAGTGGGTTGGTGGCTAGGGGGGGGGCTAGGAGGGGGGAGGGCTAGGAGGGGGGGGCTAGGAGGGGGGAGGGCTAGGAGGGGGGGGGCTAGGAGGGGGGGGGGGCTAGGAGGGGGGGGCTAGGAGGGGGGAGGGCTAGGAGGGGGGGGGGCTAGTAGTGGGGTTGGACAGGAGGATTACCTCTGGAATGTGTTGTCTTGAGTTTGTGTGTTGTTGTTGTTGTCTTGAGTTTGTGTGTTGTTGTTGTTGTCTTGAGTTTGTGTGTTGTTGTTGTCTTGAGTTTGTGTGTTGTTGTTGTTGTCTTGAGTTTGTGTGTTGTTGTTGTTGTCTTGAGTTTGTGTGTTGTTGTTGTCTTGAGTTTGTGTGTTGTTGTTGTCTTGAGTATTGTGTTGTGCCATGTTGGTCTAACATTTGTCGTTATTATTCTCCGGGTTTTGCTCGAAAGGCCTCATAATGTATGGCGCAATAAAAGTGACGCCTCACCAAAGGGGGACCCTATTACAGACTCCGCATGGAGTGGCTTCTTTGTGTGACTGGGAGCGTTGACGTTGATTGTGTGTGTTGTGTGTGGTGTGTGTGTGGTGTGTGTGGTGTGTGTGTGGTGTGTGTGGTGTGTGTGTGTGGTGTGTGTGTGTGTGTGGTGGTGTGTGTGGTGTGTGGTGGTGTGTGTGGTGTGTGTCTGTGTGGTGTGGTGTGGTGTGTGGTGTGTGTGGTGTGTGTGGTGTGTGTGGTGGGGTGTGTGTGTGGTGTGTGTGGTGTGTGTGTGTGGTGTGTGTGGTGGTGTGCTGTGTGTGTGATGTGTATGTGTGTGGTGTGTGTGAGTGGTGTGTGTGGTGTTGTGGTGTGGTCTGTGTGTGGTGTGTGTGTGTGTGGTGGTGTGTGGTGTGTGTGGTGGGTGGTGTGTTTGTGTGGTATGTGTGGTGGTGTGTGTGGGGTGTGTGTGGTGTGTGTGCGTGGGGAGTGTGTGTGTGGTGTGTTTGTGTGGTGTGTTTGTGTGGTGTGTGTGTGGTGGTGTGTGTGTGGTGTGTGTGTGGTGTGTGGTGTGTGTGTGTGTGTGTGTGTGTGGTGTGTGTGTGTGTGTGTGGTGTGTGTGGTGTGTGTGGTGTGTGTGTGTGGTGTGTGTGTGGTTGTGTGTGTGTGGTGGTGTGTGTAGTGTGTGTGTGGTGTGTGTGGTGTGTGTGGTGTGTGTGGTGTGTGTGGTGGTGTGTGTGGTGTGCGTGTGGTGGTGTGTGTGGTGTGTGTGTGTGTGGTATGTGTGTGGTGTGTGTGTGTGGTGTGTGTGTGCGGGCCCATTGCTGAAAAATTTCAAAGCTTACAGGCACATTTTTGTGTGTTTTACGACGCTGGCCACTGGCACACCTCCATTGTTTCGCAGCCGGAGCACCCATTGGTTTAGAGACGCCTTGCGACACTGAGCTTTCTGATTGGCTTAGCCTGCACGTGTACGGAAGTGGATGACGACCACTCACAGGAGCGCGGCCGAGTTACCGCCTTGCTCGCGATTGGTGGGATTTGCACGTGAGGACGAGGGGGGGGGGGGGGTCGGGAATGACTCGTCATACATTCAGCAGGCGATTAGTTGCCCGCTCACTATCGGCCAGAGGTCGCAACCGGGTATCCGATACCCGTACCCTACCCGATACCCGGCTACCCGTACCCGGCCGGGTACGGGTACCCGTTTGCGACCCTGGTGCGGCCGGGTACGGGTAGGCCGTGAGTCACTGGTGAGTCACCGTTTGTCACTCATTTCCCAACGTCTTGTCTCTTCTCACAATTCAAGTTCCTAGAATCAACCCACCCGCGCCTGCAACATGGCTTCATCCCAGAGGTCGCAATCGGGTACCCGATACCCGTACCCCTACCCGTACCCGGCCGGATACGGGTAGGGTACGGGTACGGCCGGGTACTGGTACGGGTACCCGTTTGCGACCCTGGTGCGGCCGGGTACGGGTACGGGTAAGGAATCAAAACCCGTTTGCGACCTCTGCTATCGGCCTATTTCGCAAACGCTCTACAATTCGAGCGGTCGATTGCAACAACGGGCAGCAGCTCCGATTTGAAGCAAAGAGGTACAAGGCTGAGAGGGTGGGGCCTGCCATTCCGTGGACTCGGATGGATCGGGGCTGTACATCTTCTCGGTTGAAATTATGTCTATGTTTATATATCTGAATGGCTTCATGAACAAACCTTTGATCGTCGCCCGAAGATTTGCAGAGTATCTTGGTCTCGGAAAAAAACAATATCACGCGAGCCCACAGCGTTATAAGGATGGCCAGCCACGTGACTTTACCGAAAGAACCAAAGGGTAAGTGGGGAGACTGTTTGACTTGTTGAAGCTGTTAACATTACATTAAATCCTTTATATTAAGTTCACTTGCTTGCTTGCTTGCGTGCTTGCGTGCTTGCTTACGACCGTGCAAATCTTTCGGTCGTTTTTTAACCCACTTCCCGTGATCCAATCGAGCTGACATTTTGCACACAGACTCGTTGTGCGTGACAATTTATTTTCGTGAAATTTTTTCCCCAAAATGTTTCACTTTTTAGGGAATTTTTTTTCATATTTAATTTAATATACCAATGTGATAAAAATGAAACTCTTACTCAAGAAAAACAGAAATGAATAATAAAATAACCCGATGCCACGCATATAAAGGAGAACGTGGACAGGGTTACTCGACACAAAGTGGCTGCTGGGATTAAAACAAACACGACAACAACAACAACACACACTCGCAAAGAGAGACACAGCGAGACAGAGAGAGAGAGAGATCTCAACGAGGTTAGATCAAGTCCAAATCTTAGTCCGGTCCGGTGGGGTCACGTTGGGGTCACGACCAGACGAATGTAGCCCATCCCCGTCCACACCGCCTCGAAAGGTTCCGTTTGGAGGCGCGCCACGCTGCTACAGCTTCGTCTGCCTGATGGGACTTGCGGAGTTCGAATCGAGGCCGTTCGTGTCGAGCGGCTGCTTCTTCTCCTCCGGCACTCCACTTGAATATCTTCGGGTTCCTTTTTTACAAAGACGCGAACGCACCACAAAACGCACCATTGGAATTCTAGATTTGAAGCTTTCGCGACTGCAGGGATTCACGTAGAAGGGAAGTAGTAGTCACGGCACGTGTCGTGACCACGTGTGTCGTGACCACGTGTGTCGTGACCACGTGTGCTGACCACGTGCCGTGACCACGTGTGTCGATGACCACGTGTCGACGACCACGTGCCGTGACCACGTGTGTCGTGACCACGTGTGTCGTGACCACGTGCCGTGACCACGTGCCGTGACCACGTGTCGTGACCACGTGCCGTGACCACGTGTGCCGTGACCACGTGTGTCGTGACCACGTGTGTCGTGACCACGTGTCGTGACCACGTGTGTCGTGACCACGTGTGTCGTGACCACGTGCCGTGACTACGTGCCGTGACCACGTGTGTCGTGACCACGTGTGTCGTGACCACGTGTGTCGTGACCACGTGTGTCGTGACCACGTGTGTCGTGACCACGTGCCGTGACCACGTGCCGTGACCACGTGTGTCGTGACCAC